GGAGCGGTTAATGTAGCACAAGTTAGAGGGTATTTGTTTCCAGGGACTTATTGATTTAGGGACTTAAAAAAGTCCCTATAAGTCTCATCTAAACCAAACAGGAGGGACTTATAGGGACTTAAAGTGGGCATTTAGGACTTATGAAATAAAACTCTCAAGAAAGGACTTATAGGGACTTATAGTTGTAATATGGTCTTATAGGGACTTATAAGTCTCAGAAACCAAACAGGTAAGGACTTTTTAAGGACTTGGGACTTATAAGTTGAAACTAAAAAAAGTCCTAAAACTTATGAACCAAACAGGGCCTTAGTTCAAAAGTTGGAGAAGAAATTTACGGGTTGGTCTTCTGATGAGAGTGACGTGGCATATATAAGCAGCCTAGATTTTTTTTGAGGGGTATATAAGCAGCCTAGATTGCAAGCCCGCGCGGTGACGGCGGGATCTCCCTTGCCCTCCCCTCGGGAAAAAAAAGTGGGGGCCCCGGAGGATTCTTCTTCGGCCACTCGGAGGCCGACGCGTCGGGTGGTGCGCGCAGGCAGATGGCGGTGTGTGACGGTGCAGCTTGCTAGCCGGTGGCGATGCGTTGTGGGCTTGCGGCGGAGCGCATGATCCGATGGCGGCGCGACACTTTTCTTCGTGGCGGTGCTCGGACAGGTTAGAGCTGTGCCGGCCGGATGTGGAGGTTGGCGGCCGGAGCACGACAGAAGGCTTGGTGGGGCGGCGGGTCTGGCGGGAGGCGGTAGCGGTGCAGTGGCGAGTTCAGGCGGCGGCGACATCTGGAGGCTGCGGAGCGAGCCCACAGACAGACTGGTGGTGGCGGCATTGCGATGGCTCGGCCAAGATGGAGCCTTAGTGAGCAACGAGTGGCCGATCACCTCTCAGCGGTGTGGTGAGTGGCGGGGCTCTCCCGGTGGTGCAACATGTGAGCATGCTTCTTGGTGGAGAAGCGGGTCTGCTCGGGCAAGGTTATTCCTTGGAGTGGGCGACTACCGTCGTGGGCGGTTCTGGACCTTCTCGGAGGTGCAATGTAGCTGTGGTTTCTCGTCCAGGCTGGGAGTTGGTGGTGTGGCCGGGTTTCTATTTGCCCTGCAGTCGATCGTCGATCCTCGATCGGCTTTGCGGCTACGTCGGCTTAGTGTTGCGGTGGCGCCTGTGCGAGGCTAATTGGATGGTGTTGCCCAATTCTAGGAGTTTTGATGATGTATGACAAGCGGATGAAAATCTTGCACGACTTCCGTCGTGTCAGCGGCGATGTTACCCATGGATATCACCCCCTTCCCTGGAGACGTCGCCGAGCGTGTTTGTCTTGTCCCTCGCTCGCTTGGAGTTTGTGGCGGTGTCCGGGCGAAAGCCTCGATTCGGTGTTGGATCGACACAATGGTGGTCTCCTCGACGTCATACCTTTGTTAGGAGGATTGTGTTATGAGACACAGCCGGTTCCTCATTGTCCTCTTTTGATCCTTGGCGGTGCTATGTACGCCCATCGTTGGTGTGTCCAAGACGGCGTCTTCCTTAGATCAGATCGAGTCATGCCATCCATGCTACTTCCTCTTAGGTGCTCGGAATGGATGATGCATCGAGAAGCGCTATTCTGCGGAAGTTCGTGGTCTTCGGAGGCGTCCGGCGTCAGTTGGGATGCGGTATTGTGTTTCAGCTTAGGATAGAGCTTTTGCGGTGTAGCTTGTTTTGCGGTGTTGCCCGTCTTTGGCCTTGCTCTGGTCTGGTGTGTACACTACGCTCGTTGTTCGCAGCAAGTGGTAGTTGGCACGTCTGGACGTACTCTCAAAAAAATGGTGTAAGTTGCCTGAATTTTAATTTGAAGTCAATCGATTACAGAAAGAAGAGGGGGAAGCCCTGAGACAGCGAGGGGAGTGCCGCGGTGAGTGTCATCGAGGCTCGGGGCTGCAGGGGAGGCCTTGGACGAGAGCGGCCCAGAGTCGGGTCAATACGACAACAACATCACCAGTGAAGGCGAGTCAAAGGCTTGATGGTTCAGATGCGGGGTATGGCTGCCAGCACAAGGAAAAAAGAGGTGGGAGGTTTGGCTTTGAGTGGTTGCAGATGACAGTGAGGTGCATAGAAGCATCACTGACGGCGGTGGTGGCAGCAGACGTTTGACCGACGGTTTGTGAGTGGGAACTGGGAAGGATCATAGGAGAAAGATAGAGGGAAGATGAAGGTCAATTGTTGAATTCAAATTCCATGGCCGAAAAAAAAATCAAATGCCCTGATTTTTTTTTCAGGCGGTCTGACATATAGCAGGCCCCGAATCTTGGACCCGCGCCAGTGTTGATTTTGGTTTGAGCTCGGTCAGTCTCTTTGGAGGAAAACATATCCAACTGTTTTGGTCACGTGAGCACGCACGCCACAGTCGAGGGACAGCAAAATAGCTAGGTTGGTTAGCGTGTCATCCCGAGACTGGAGTAAAACGACGTAATTTTAGGACCTCGATAGTGCAGTTTGGTCTCGTTGCACATGGCACTGACTGCTAGTGCTAGAGCAAATGGTGGGTTTGGCTTGGTTTGGGTCCCCCATGTGCCGTGACCGTGATTCTTTGGGTTGGCGGTACAAGAATCAAAAGGAACCCAGCAACGAGATCTCATGCACGGAACAGGCAATATCCACTTGACACCCCCACCCCAGACAAATCACCTTTCGCTCGCTCGGTCTGCTGGCTAATCATGTTTCCTAGGGTTTCCCTTTTTTTTTTAGGGAAAATCATGTTTCCTAGGTATTCATGCATCCCGTACGTGCCGAGCAAGAAGCCCCGTATAGCCGAGGAAAGTGGATCCTCTAACATAGATAACATAAAGGAGGGAATTCACCTAACTTACAGTGCAAACTAGTGTCAAACAGAGAAGAAATGGCATGGGTACTGTAGCAAACGAAGTATTTATCTACTGTAGCAGACACTGTTCACAGTTGCTGTTGATATAAGTAAATTTAAAATAAATTTTATTGCATCATAATTTTGTTTGTATGTAAGTTTTATAAATGTATAAAGTGGATTTGTAATTTGTAAATTAATTCAAATCATTTTAGCCTTAATCGTATGGATGTTAAGGAGGGAAGTTAGGGAACTGTAGCTAAGGTGACTTTCCTCCTTCATGTTAGGGGATCCACTTCCATAGCGAAGATGGGAGCGTGCAGTGAGTTGCTGTTGGAAATATGCCCTAGAGGCAATAATAAAAGTATTATTATATTTCAATGTTCATGATAAATGTCTTTTATTCATGCTATAACTGTATTATCCGGAAATCGTAATACACGTGTGAATACTTAGACCACAATATGTCCCTAGTGAGCCTCTAGTTGACTAGCTCGTTGTGATCAACAGATAGTCATGGTTTCCTGACTATGGACATTGGATGTCGTTGATAACGGGATCACATCATTAGGAGAATGATGTGATGGACAAGACCCAATCCTAAGCATAGCATAAAAGATCGTGTAGTTCGTTTTGCTAGAGCTTTGCCAATGTCAAGTATCTCTTCCTTCGACCATGAGATCGTGTAACTCCCGGATACCGTAAGAGTGCCTTGGGTGTATCAAACGTCACAACGTAACTAGGTGACTATAAAGGTGCATTACAGGTATCTCCGAAAGTATCTGTTGGGTTGACACGGATCGAGACTGGGATTTGTCACTCCGTATGACGGAGAGGTATCTCTGGGCCCACTCGGTAATGCATCATCATAATGAGCTCAATGTGACCAAGGTGTTGGACACGGGATCATGCATTACGGTACGAGTAAAGTGACTTGCCGGTAACGAGACTGAACAAGGTATTGGGATACCAACGATCGAGTCTCGGGCAAGTAACGTACCGATTGACAAAGGGAATTGTATACAGGGTTTGATCGAATCCTCGACATCGTGGTTCATCCGATGACAACATCGAGGAGCATGTGGGAGCCATCATGGGTATCCAGATCCCGCTGTTGGTTATTGACCTGAGAGCGTCTCGGTCATGTCTGCATGTCTCCCGAACCCGTAGGGTCTACACACTTAAGGTTCGGTGACGCTAGGGTTATTAGGAAGACTAGTATGTGACTACCGAATGTTGTTCGGAGTCCCGGATGGGATCCTGGACGTCACGAGGAGCTCCGGAAGGGTCCGGAGGTAAAGATTTATATATGGGAAGTTGTCAAACGGGCACCGGGAAGTTTCGGGGTCATACCGGTATTGTACCGGGGCCACCGGAAGGGTTCCGGGGGTCCACCGGGAGGGGCCACCCCTCCCGGGGGGCCACATGGGCTGCGTGGGGCAGGGAGCCAGCCCCTGGTGGGCTAGGCGCACCCCCTCCCTTGGGCCCTTGCGCCTAGGGTTGAGGGGGGAACCCTAGAGGGGGCGCCCCCTTGGCTTGGGGGGCAAGCCACCCTCTCCCCCTCTCCCCTTGGCCGCCTCACCCCCCTAGATGGGTTCTAGGGGGGCCGGCCCCCTTCTCCCTTCCCCCTATAAATAGAGGGGTGAGGGGAGGGCAGCCGCACCACCCTCCAAGGCGCAGCCCTCCCCTCCCCAACACCTCTCCTCCTCCGTTGTGTGCTTGGCGAAGCCCTGTCGGAGTACTGCCTCTCCACCATCACCACGCCGTCGTGCTGCTGGTGGAGCTGTCTTCCTCAACCTCTCCTTCCCCCTTGCTAGATCAAGAAGGAGGAGACGTCTCCCGTCCTGTAAGTGTGTTGAACGCGGAGGTGCTGTCCGTTCAGCACTTGGTCATCGGTGATTCGAATCACGTCGAGTACGACTCCATCATCACCTTGCAAGCTTCCGCACGCAATCTACAAGTGGTATGTAGATGCAAACTCTCTCCCTTGACTCGTTGCTTAGATGAACTC